CTCTCTCTCTCTCTCTCTCTCTCTCTCTCTCTCTCTCTCTCTCTCTGTATCTCTCATTCCCAATCACAGCCACACGGTGAAATAAGCAGGAAAATTTAACGTAAAGAATTATTATGTCACAATAAGAGTAAAGATCTAAGAAAAGTCCAAATGGCTGAGACAGAGTGTCCTACTTTGTTTATGCTGCAATAACAAAAATACCATAGACTCAATGGCTTATAAACTAGTTCATTTTATGCAGATTCACTGTCTTGTGAGTGTCCACCTTTGTTCATTAATGCTGTCTTCTTGCTGTTGACTTCCTGTGGTACAGAGGCAAGAGGGCTCTCCCAGGGCTTATTTGTGAGGGCACTAGTCTCAATCCCAAGGGTGGTGCCCTCATGACCCATTTGCTTCCCAAAGGTGTCACCTAATACTATCAAATTGGGGCTTAGGATTTCAAAATATAAATTCATAGAGTACACAAAGATTTGTACAACAGCAGAGAATATCCAAGAAAGACAAACAGAAGGGCAGCTCTACCTAAAGAACTCAGACTCAGCTGAAGAAGGTGAAGTTGCAGCTTCACTGGTTTTTTGGAGAGTAGACTCAAAGTTGTATGGAAAAAGATGGGAGCGGTGGCACAGGCCTGAATCCCAGTACTCTAGAAGGCTGAAGCAGGATGATCACAAGTTCAAGCTCAGCCTAGGCAATTTAACAATTTAGGCTCGGGAGGGGGCAGGTTGAGAATGTAACTCAGTGTAAAACCCTGGGTTAAAACAGGAAAGAATGAGCAGGGCTTCAGGAGCACCAAGAGGCCAGGACCACATGTCAAGAGTGCTACCTAAAGGTTATTACTCCAAGACTCAAGGGACGCAGTTAAGTGAACAAACACTCAAATTATCAAAAATCTAGAAGCTGAGGAGAAGTGAAAGAGCATAGAAAAGCTATTAAATAAAATAATTGCCTGAAAACTTCCCAAGTCTTGGATATGAACATCCAAGTAAAGCAAACCTGAAGAATCCCAGGTAGGTTTGATTAAAAAAAGAATGCTCTTGGGCTGGGGGTTTAGCTCCATGCCCTCACTCCTGCCTCCTAAGTGCAAGGTCCAGTGCAATCCCTGGTTAAAAAAAAAAAGGAGAGAGAGAGGAGGAGAAGGAGGAGAGAGAGGTGAGAGAAAGGAAAAGAAAAGCAAGAAAGAAGGAAAGGAGAGAAAGAAAAAGATAGATCTTGACTCTGGCATAATAGTCAAATGGTCAAAAGTCCATGAATTTTATAAACAGCAAGTGAAAAACACCAAGTCACAAGTGCTGGGGGACCAACCTAACTACAGCCCATGAGAGGATGGGATAATATATTCAGAGTTCTGAAAGAAAAACTATCAACCAAGAATACATACCCAGGAAAGCTGTCTTTCTGAAATGAAGGAGAAATACTTTCCAAGACAAGCAAAAACCGAAGGAATTCATTGCCACCAGATTAGCTGCACAAAAGATGCTTAAGAGATACTGCATCTAGAAA